GAATCGTCAGTCGTAAGCTGTTCTTATTCTCCATGACAATGCACGTCCACATGTGGCACTTTGACGCAACACAAGCTTATGGAGTTGGATTGGGAAGTTCTCCCCCACCCACCATATTCTCCAGATATGGCACCATCAGATTACCATCTTTTCGTTCACTGCAACTAGAAAACGTATGCAAATGTGGAAGGTGTTAAAGAGGACATCGACATGTTTTTTGCTTCAAAACCAAGTGATTTCTTCAATCAGGGCATTAACAACCTGACTGTAAGATGGAAAAGCATCATCGATAAGAATGGAGACTATTTCATTTAATAAATGGTTTGTTTTGATATATAAGTTGTTCGGGTTTATTCATCTAAGAAAAAGAGACATTAATTTCTTCACAGCCTAAAAGTTTTTAAACAAAATAGAAACGAAGTGACCTCATAACCTCAAAAATGTAGATAAAGGGTTGACGTCTTATTATATACAATAAACAATGGTACGTCATCATAACCTTTGTAAAAAGGTCACGGTCATGACCTCTTATTTTTTTATATATTAAACAATTGTATGGCATCAAGCTTCTCGAAACGACTAAATATATCGAAACGCTATTCGACCATTCATCTGGCCATTTACCCTACGTGTGCGTCAGGTGGCACTGAGATTTAAAGTAGTTATATCAGTGTTATCGTAACCCTACGTGTGCGTCAGGTGGCATGGATATCATATCGGTGTTGTCGTAAAAATTAAAGTTTTTGATGAACTGAACTGTTTTGTAGAACAAGAGGTGGTGGGACGTCTGAAATGTAAATTTTTGGAGCGTGTTGCACTATTTGTAATCACTGTAAAAGATTGATTGTATTTTTGTAACTACTGTGTAGACATAAAAAGGTTCTAAACTAACGATATTCATTTATCAACTTGTCATGTAGTAAATGTTTTCACAGAACCTAACTTAACTTATAACTTACATGACATCAAATACGCCTTATATATATTGAGAGCAACATAAGGTATGTTTAGACTGAACGTATAACATATGACGTGATTACACTGGAGATAAAATATGCTGTGTTATCACTGGACGTAAAATATGATGCGTTTAACCTGAGCGTAACCTATGATATGCTTAGACAGGACATGCTGTGTTTACAACGGACGTAAAATATGATATATTTTCATTGAGAATAAAATGTGACGTGTTTACATTGAAAATAAAATAAAATCCGTTTGCGCTGTACTCCGTAATTCAGCCAATCTAGTTACCTTGACCATACTTAATTCTTTAAACAGTAAAATCATATTAATTAATCATCACGAGACGTAATGGACTTTCTGGAAGAAAGCTCAGGACTGATCATTTCCTATTATGTGGTAGAGATTTCAAGACTCAACAACTCAACGTACTTTTGTGGAAAATATTTCAAGATTCAACATGTTTCCGGGAGAGATCTACATCTTTGGAAGAGATCTCAAGTTTCAAAACTTCCAGTTATTTTGGAAGAGTTTGTTTGTTTTGTTGCATTTCGCGCAAAGCCACACCAGAACTATGTTCTCTAGCTGTCCCTAATTTGAACTGATAGACTAGAGGGAAGACAACTAACAGCACGCACCGCCACCTCTTGGGCTTCTCTAATCGAATAGTGGAACTTGACGTCCGTTCTTATAATACCCCCCTGGGGTCAAAATGAGGAATCACGAATTTGCGACGACGGGACGTTAGCCATGGACCTTCGGATTCACAAACCTGTATGATAATCACCAGGCCAATTCCGCCCACGTTTTTATTTTTTTTATTTCCATATTTAGAGACACAATCTAAACATATGGTCCTTTT